ACGCCGTTTATGATCTTCGCTCTCCGATCCTTGGTTCAAAGCGACGATGGATAATCTTTCATTCACGAACACCAGCGTCATCATCAGAATTACAGTACATACAGTACACAAATGAAACAGCATGATATTATGAAAAATGAGTTATGTCAAAGTGTTTGTTGCATTAATTCTTTCCGATATGCTGGTCGTTGAAATTTCAGCTGTCACTCACATGTAACGAGGTTCTGCACTTGCTACACACTCGGCTTTCGTATTCGGTAGCGTCTGCCACTGATGTAATCAAATCAGTCGAATCTAAAGTCCGTCATTTTCGATAGCCGCTTATCCTTTCGGGTTGCGGAGGAAGGTGTGCTAAGCAGTGTCTCCAATGTTCCTGATCCTCTGCCAGTGTCTGAGCTTCGGCAGAAGATAAGTGGAGTCTGAAGCACACTCTTTCCATGTATTTGCATCAGGTTAATCTTGGCCGTCCGCTGGGCTCTCTGCCGGCCGGCTAGGCAAAAAGTGATTGCTTCGCCTTCTTTTGTAGAGGCATTCACAAAGCGTCCCCAAACCATTCACCATACAGCAAGACTCTCGCGGATTTCTATACTTCGGTTCATGTCGAGACGCGAATGTCAACGACTCGTCTCAGAAAGCCTATTTCAGCCGTTTGTATCCGGGATCGAAATTTTTTAATAATGGTCCACTGCTCGTGACCGTAGGAAAGCATTGAGACGAAGATCGACTAGAAAACCGAGAGCGAAAACTTTTCAGTCTCATGTGGTATAGTCACAACGGTTCCGGCTGCTTCATTCAGAACGCCACTGGCGATTTCAATCCGCTCGTCGATTTCTTTTATTTTACATCACAAGTGAACACAGCTACGAGGTACATGAATTTCTCTACCTGTCCAGCGTCATTCAGTTTATCTGCAGAGTGCGGTGGTCATGGAAACAATATTCGCTGGGTCTTTGGTTTTAAATGCACGCGTACGATATCCGCTTATCCATTTAGAAGAGAATCGAAAGCATTGTATTGTTCCTCTGTATTGTATTGTTAGCGATGACTTAGCTGTATCGTGACTTGTAAAACAGTCTACAAATCGGGCTCAGTTTTTAGCACAACCGAAAAGGACGGAGGCCACCTCCCTGAAAAATTCGTGTGTGCATTTGCTTTTGCTGAGATCATCACCTTGAGTCGTTTTTGTATGCAGGGTGTCTCTGATTTGTGACTTCGATTGTTTTCGCAGCATTTCAACCTTTTGCTATAAGCTACCGGCTGCTGGATCGTGGAAGGAAATGTTCCTCTCCGACAGCTGACCGGCACCTGTCTCGTTCCTCCATGTTGATGCTTGCTTCCTGACCGAACTCTGCTATTTTTTGGCTCCTACACAGCAGGTTCACGGGTTGGTGTAAATGACGTATGCTTGAAAATTTGTCTAACAAGGCGAACTTTTTTTCTTAATCTCCGTATTTGCTGAGGTCATTACTCTTCAGAAAATCACCTGTCCTGGTCCTGATGATTTCGTTGTCATTTTGATACAGACTTTTCCAACACGCAGTCGCGTTCGTCACATTTCCTTGAAGCGCGGCATCACGGCAAAGAGCTTGTTATTCACTGTGTATAATAATATTACTTTCAGTAGCCATAAATGACGGA